CTACAAAAAACGTGTACTTTTATATTTAACAAATACTGTATGAATTCATAAGAAATAAAGAGTTCACAAATAGAAGAGATAGAAAGGAGTCTGGAATAATACCATTATTCTACAAAAAAACGGGGACTTTTTGTATTTAGCGTATATTGTATAAACTTGTGAGAAACGTTTTCCACAAATTAAGAACAAATGAGAAATCATTAGTAAACGCTATTTTATGACAAAATGTTGTTGTAGAATGTATGAAAGTCACTGATATTGTAACCTGTGAAGATAAGTTGAAAAAAGGTTTTGCCATGTAATATACATTCATGATAAACATTGCTCACAGACACAGACCAAAAGAAAGATCGTACCTCAACTCCCACCATTTTTTATTCATGTTCTCGTATGCAGTGTTACCACTGAAGACATCCCATCGCCACAGGTCTATCATGTAACCATAGGGCAGAAGAGCGATCTTCTCGAGAGCCATGCCCAATAAGAAGTTGATATCGGTTTCTAAAGTGAGACAGTTTTTAATATCTATGTGACGCTTAGTAGCTAAACTATTATTTATTTTATATATATTGGAACATGCTACACTTTTTGTTTGTTTGTTTTATATTTGTGCTCAACTGAAAAATGTGCTATATTCGCTGCGGGGATCAAACCCCTAAAGCTTGCTGCTAAGCAACCTAAATAAAACATATAACACACCCAAAGCCTTTGAAATGTAATTTTAATTATTACAGCTTAAACATATTATTGTTTCTACTGTTTAATGTCACACAATAAGTATTAAAATATACGTTAGGAACCATTTTTCTCTTTAGATTTCTTCGCTTTGGTCATTTTCTATGTTTGTTTATCTCAAGTTTTTTATAAACTGTGTAATAACATATTTAGTACATATTAATGAATAAACATGCTATTAGCGTGTATAATTGGTTTCACCGCTAGCTACAACAAGGACTATGCATAACGATTAGGACTGAAGCATTTGGACAAGTAGCGTATAGAGGATTGAATACGTTATATTAAAATGATTTTGAATATTACAATCAGCAAGTCACGTGGCAACTATAGTCAAGATGAAGTCGTAGTGGGCCAGAATTTATTATAACTATATTTTGATACTGTTTGGCGTTTCATAGGTAGTGTGATGTAGTAACAGCCTTTTCCAACCGAAATATTCATACACTCAGATCAAAAAGATGTAATAAGATCTGGGATTTAGAATTTTCAAGACAGGGTTATTCCTTGTGCATAATGGCATTGGGAAACCCATGAACATGGATCAACTTGGGTACTTAGTTTCATAGGTAGTGTGATGTAATAACAGCTTTTTTCAACCGAAATATTCATACACTCAGATAAAAAAGATGTAATAAGATCTGGGATTTATAATTTTCAAGACAGGGTTATTCCTTGTGCATAATGGCATTGGGAAACCCATGAACATGGATCAACTTGGGTACTTAGGACCATACATAAACAGACTTCAACAAGTCGTACCCCAACTGTGGTAAACAAAATGCGGCCTTTTGTAAAAGATGAGAATCCACGAACACAAAGGTCAGTGGAAAGCTGTCCACGTGCCTTAGGCAACAGTACATAACATAATCAAGAAACATATCCGTCTGGAAAAGCCACACAAGTCACGTGTACACAACTTGTTTCCACTACATATCTGTTCAACCGTCGCATGCTTGAAGCAACTGGAGAATGAAAATGAGTATTCATGCTATTCCATATGAAGACATACTGTTCAAATCCCCGGACGTAGCGTCCACGAATTTCCCTGCGATTGAGCTATTTTAAAGGGCACTGGGAAATCATTGTTCTCGAACACTAGATGAATTATGGAAATCATGCAAGGAGGAGTAGTATGCTATTAGTGAAGGTCAGGTGAAGTTAATTACAGATCCATTTTACATCTCTTTTTAATACAGCGGTTTAAATTCACTACATGGCAGAAAATTTGCTTAACAATAAACCCCAAAAGATTGAATATCATATAATGAACGGTAAAACACTTTTACTATTGAACTAATGAACGGTAAAAAACCTTTACTATTGAACTACATATAACACACTATAATTCGATATCATCTTTGCTTCATAGTCACTCTCTATTCCTTTAAAAAACTCAATTCAGTAAAGGCACTGTAACCATAAATTATGCCATAACGTCTGTTTAAGTTGAAACTTTAAATGTGCTCCTTTACAAAACATGTGATATATAACATTACGGTGAAATAACAAATACTGTAACAAATGTTGAACATAAATAACAAAAAATTACCACACTGATGTGTAACCATTAAGAGTACTTAATTTATCATTTCACGTATTAATAAACTGATGTGTTTATAAAGAGATGGGAGTGACTTTTGGTTAGTGTATCTGTCTGCAGGTAGAAGAGTCTGGGGTTCGAGACGCAATTCAGTTGAACAAAGTCAGCATTTTCAGCTGTAATCTTGTAACAAAAGTGTAAGTTAATGCCGTTATTCAGTTAAAAAGCCGGACAAAGCCCTTATAGGAGAAGTTGTTGCTGGTTGGCTGTCTTTCCTGTAATTAGTAGTTCAAAAAAAGGGACTATATTTGAATGATAAGGGTCTCTGATCTGGCCGGTTAGTCGTGCGCATAATATTACACTTAGGTTCAAAATTCTAATTACATTTCTACACAGACCAAACCTTCCATACTGAACCAAACTTACCTTCGTCTTCGACGAGTTCGTCAAGCAACCCGATTTCATATAAGTGTTTTGGAGTAGAAACGGACAACGCCATTGTATCCCCAATAGCTTCATGAAAACCTGGAAAATTTGAACACAGTGTTATTACTTTTTTACTAACTTTGGTTATTTAAGTTATAAAGTGTGAGACTGGAGACTGCGAGCTCTGGTGATATATTTTACAAATTTTAACTGGTAATTTCTATAGTCAAAGTACAAAACTATATCATCAGAGCTCGCAGTCTCCAGAATTTTTACAAATTTTAACTGGTAATTTCTATATTCTAAGTACAAAAAATTCTGGAGACTGCGAGCTCTGATGATATATTTTACAAATTTTAACCGGTAATTTCTGTATTCTATGTAAAAAATTCAAACAATCGACTGATGTTTTCTTTACGTCATATAATAAGTAAAGCATGATCGAAATGATTTTCATTTGTAAATTCACGCCCATTTATTCTCATTTTCTAAGGACTCTTATCTGTTAGAATTACGTATCAGTTCAGAAAAGTGTCCACTAGTACGTTAAGCTTCAATATTAAATAAAATAAACTTACTTTTATAGCTGGTTTTGCTCATGTTTCCTACTCAGCTGTAAATTTAGGAAATACAAAGCATTACAGCGTTTTAAACATATGAATCAAACTGCATTATCTAAGGGTTGAGATAAAGCACATGTTACCAATAAAAATTGTATTCTGTATGGTATTATAAAAAGAAGAAAACAGTTCAAACAAATGTCTGTAAATGTGACGAAAAACATATTCTTGATGAAAATCAAGATAGCGTAAAACTGAAATAATCACTAACCTGGATTTGCCCCATCTCTAAAAACTACGGGCTGATTTTTGTATTGAAGAAAATATTCTACATGTCCCATCTCGTGGTGAACGGTGATTAGCTGCTGCGTAGTGATATCAGTACATTGCTTGATCCTATTGGTAAATAAAATTTCACGTTATTTAAAAATGTGTAAATTTATTCTGAGGCAGTGGTTATTCAACGGTGGGCTATTCTTCCGTAAGAAAGTGTCTAACATTGGTTTAGACTGACGACTTTTCAACATCTTAACGAAAGCCAGTCCAAGTGTTGGGACAAAGATAGTGATGTAAAGGGAGTTTCGATATGATATTTATGTCTGTGTGGCTCATATGTTGAAATAACATAAAGGTTCAATGTTCTAACAATAGAACAGTTCAATGTTCTAACAACAGAATGGTTCAGCGTTGTAGCAATATTCAATGCTGTAACAACGAAACAGTTAAATAATAATAAAACAATAGAACGGCTCAAATTCGGAATAATAGAACGTTTCAATGTTTTAACAATAGAATTGTTCAATGTTGTAACAATACAATGGCTCGAAGTTGAAACAACAGCACTATTCAAAGTTAGAACAATAGAACGTTTCAATGTTGAAACAGTAAAACGATTCGCTGTTGTTACAACGGAACGGTTTACAATTGTAAAAGCAGAACGATTCAATGTTGTAACATGAGAGCAGTTAAATGTTGTAACAATGAAATAGTTGTGCGAGGAACAGAATTATGAGTTATGTCCTCTTTAGTCTTGTACTGGTCTCATTGTGACCACAATCTTAACATTGATGGTGGATAGGCTAAACAAATAAACAATTAACAACTGTCTATTTAGCTGTATCTTCACCCTCTCTTGTTGTTCATCGTGAATTTTAAACTCATCAACTATAATCTAAGAATTTGTCCAGTGTAACATTGCTATTTCATTGAGAAGCACTTTGTAAACTTTTTTATAGTTTTGAAACCCAGAAGCAATTAGGGAGAGCTGTTTCCTCTGTAATCAAAAACTCTTATTCTATTGATACAATTTAGTTTGTAAAGTATGTGTGAAATACATCAAGAAGTACATCTTTATTTTATAACGTATATACACACAGTATGGAGAAAACAGCAGAGCAAAAATGTTATAAGAAAGCGGGAGCAGTAATATAGCAAACCGCAATGTCACATATGGAATATGCAGACTGAAGCCCATAGCGGGAGTAGCAAGAATTCACAATTCGCAGACGTGGTATGCTGAGAAAACTCCAATAGTTAGATAAAACGTTCGACGAAATGAGCCAATGTAAAAAAAAACACACACTCACAAAAAAACAACAACAGTTAATGGAACAGAGATGAAAGACAAGGGTGAACTACTCTTAGTGAAGAGTCCCCCGTTACAGGGTTTGTCTCTATACGCCCTAAGTTAATTGTCTTGGATGATTTTGTCAACGATATTAGATAAGAAACAGAAATAAGTTCTGTAAGAACCAATAACAGAGTAGATTTTGGTTATAGTCTGATGGAAAAGTTCACTTGCTGCTGAAAGATCTCACTTGTACCAATCGAGTTAAGAACTACTTTTGAAAGTAGATCTGCTAAACTTCTTGAACAATCGGAAAAAACACTAAAAATTATGTATATAATTCCGTGTTTCCGACTCTAAACAGCACTTCTTTGGCTTTCCCGCACTTAACAAGTTGCTCTGAGGACCTGATCTCACTCCAGAAGAAGATGGCAGTAATCCAGAATCTATAAGAAGTTTGCCACACAAACTCCTTGTAAGTATGCTATTTCTGATCTAAGTCTAATAGTGTTTCACTTAATTTTCAATAATGCATGAAGAGAGAAAAGTGAAGAATACTAACTGTACTAAAGAAATAGTAGATTTAATAACACTTATAGTAGAACTACTGAAAGATATCTTAGAATAATTGTTAATACAATTATACAGATTATGATCGAACGAATTTCTCGTGTTAACTTACTTGATAACTTAACTAATGATGTGTCTGTGTTATTGAACATAATAGAAGGCCTTACTAACGAACATCTAGACTCTCAAAACGAAGAACTCAGTGATTCAGAGTTCGTGTTGTTTCAAGATAATCTTGAGAGTTTCGATATAAATAAACCGTTCAACAGTATAAATAAAGAAGCTATTTGATTTATATTCAGTTGTCTCTGTGTGAGTTCTTAATTCCCCATATAAACTTCTTCGTGTTGGTGGCTTTTGCGCTCCACTCGCGACAGCACGATCCAAAATCCAAATAACCCAACAACTAAGCCCACGGACTGCCCACACGCCCGTTATATTTGTAATAAACATCCTGCCTCCTGAACAACTATGAAGTGAAACTATGGCTGATGTATTATAATCAACCAAGTTTGAAGAATTCATACAGAAGCTGTGGAATGTACCTACAAATCTGTGTTATAATCACCTAAAGTTTGTAGAGTACGCACAGAAGATCTGGAATATACCTACAGATCTGTGTTATGACCAACTAAATTCTGATGATATTAGCGATTATGTAGTATAATTAGTAGATGTATTTCTGCAGGACCCCCGAAAGTGTCCTATTTCAACTGTAAATAAAACCAAAATTAAGAATAAATATTTTTATTTCTTACTATTCAAGTTCACATGCCGTGCTATTTTATAGCCTACGGAGTGCCTAATTCTGCTCGTGATTTATGGCATACGCATGTTTTACTGACGTCAAGACAGTACAAATTTCAACGTCAGACGTCCCTTATGTGACTTCACTTTAGTGTCTACTGACTGACTGACAGATAACACACTACAGGTGACCCTCCAGGCGGCCTACGGCCTCCTTTTGGGTAAATGACTAAATGCTACAGTTAACGAATTCTAAGTTGATTCTTTTAAGTTACATTATATGTATTAACAACTATTGAGGTCAAAACTTTAAGGTAGACATCCCGAATACATTCATTGGTGATACTGATCTTGGAAGTGTTCATAGGTCTACACAAATCTTGAAGTTTTTTGGCAGATACAAACATTTATGGCCTGGGTTAGGGCGCTTGACTCGCATTCTGAAGGTCGCAGATTCGAATCCCCGTCACACCGAACATGCTTGCCCTTTCAGCCGAGAGGGCATTATAATGTGATGGTCAATCCCACTATTCGTCGGTAAAAGAGTATTCCACGAGTTGGCATGGGTGGTGTTGACTAATTGCCTTCCCTGTAGTCTGTCACTGCTAAATTAGGAACGGCTAGCAAAGATAGTCCTCGTTTAGCTTTACGTAAAATTCACACTAAACCAAACATTTATATTTATTGTGGTTACACAAAACTTGAAACAAACACATATTTCTTGTAAATCAATTACGTATAATTTTATACAAATATTTATGTACATGTTTGCTGTAGATCAAATATCTCGTACGTACTTATAAGTGAAAATATGTCAATCACACTATATCCTAATTTACAAGGATCTGTACCCCCCCCCCCAGTGACACAGCGGTATGTCTGCGGATTTACAACGCTAGAAACCGGGTTTCAATATTCGTGGTGGGCACAGCACAGATAGCCCATTGTGTAGCTTTGTGCTTAACTACAAACAAACCGACGAAGCCTTTTGACAATTTTAAAGCTATTCAGGCCGATTGGGATACGACCGACATAGTGGTAAAAACGCTATTTATATCATCAATCGCATGAAAGACAACTGTTTTGGTGGGAAGTAGAATAATTATGAATGTTACTTTGGTCATTACACATCAGAATTATGTTTATGATTTGTTATTAAAATCAAATTATTTATTTATTTTAACACCAAATTGTTTTTTTTTATTGATATTATTTATTTTAAATGAATTGACGTTACACTCATCGTTCAGAAGACTGTTTTTGAATTTCGCGCAAAGCTATACGAGCGCTATCTGCTCTAGCCGTCTCTAATTTAACAGTGTAAGACTAGAGGGAAGGCAGCTAGTCATCACCACTTACAGTCAACTTTTGGGCTACTCTTTTACCAACGAATAATGGGATTGACCGTCACATTATAACGCCCCCACGGCTGAAAGGTCGAGCATGTTTTGGTGGGACGGAGGTCGTTCAGAAGAACTGGCGATCCAAAAAGCTGTTCTTGAAATAAATATTTACGGATATGTTTAAAAATGAGATGGTATACTTATTTGTAAACTTGAAAATCTAAAGTAAACGTTAAACACATGTCCTGAAAAATGTTAAAATTATATTTTTTTCTTAGTGTTTATCACTTCTTCACTTCATCATAATAACTGAAAATCAATACACAGCCAACTGTTTGGTTTCACTCAGGGCTTCTTGGAAATTATAATTTTGTAAGAATAAATTTCAATATACTTACATAAATTCTATATATCTTACAAGTTTATAATAACAGGATTTTCTCTCAAAAGCTAAAATAAAATTAAAGGTGAATAAATCAGATATAATGAAATAGAAAAACAAAACGGAAGATTAAAAAAGGTAGTAAAATAGTTGAAAAGTAGAGACAGCTCAAACAAGACGAAAAAAAGAACACATCACAATACAACTTTTACCCTTCGCGTGGCACTATCTGTTATATTACGCAACTAAAAATAGAATGTAAAAGGAATACATCACAATTCAACGTTTCGCCACCAATAAATGGTACATCTGTTATATTACGCAACAAAAAAACGGGATTAAAATGGAACATACCGCAATACAACGTTTCGCCAAAAGCATTATTACATCTCTTTTCTTATAAGCCCTCCATATTTGTGAAACTAAGTTCTTAAAATAACTACGTCTTATTTCACATTTATTTTTAGTCAAAACGGTTACCCCACTTAATTTTTCAACCAAAACTTAAGATATCCATTGTGATAAAACTGGGGTTATTTACAATGAGCCAAATACCACAACAAGGGGAATAGAGGAAAATATATATCAGTGATGAATTGGGGAATAAAATTATACTATTTTAGCATTGTATTTCATTTGCTTCTAAGCTTTGTACTGTATGAGTTGATTATATTTATTCGCAACAATTTGTTTTTATGATCGTGTTAGATTTACACTTAAATCATCTATTTAATGCCCGGTATAATCGTAAGTACATCTAAAAATGTATGATTTTATATGTAGTTTTTATAAGATTAATCATCTGCACGGATATAATAATTTGATATAATGCATCATCTATTTTATGATTTTATGATTCACGTTATGTAATGTTTTTACATTGTTGTGTATAACGTAACGTTCATATTCAAATTTGTCTTCCCTAACGTAGAATTCATACGTGAGCTTGTAAACTTACTTTCAATAAATCCAATGTGGAGTTAGCTCCACTGTTTATTTTGTTATTTTAAATTGAAATGCAGTTTGTGTAGTTGAAAAAAATAAGCAGATGTTTTAATACATTAAGAGAAGTTAGTGTTAGTTAGAAATAGGACAATCAATGGATTGGTTAAACTGGCACTTGGGTGAACAGAAATACGACAACAAAACTAACAAAAATAAAATTGCCTATATTTTTAAAAACGCTCTTCCTATTAAGCATAAGATACAAACATCCAGCCTACAAACTTGGCTAAATTATAACTGAAATTTTCTCAGGTTGAAACAATGGGTTTGCGAGGTATAACTTTAGTATCCATAAGTGTGAGGTATTTTAGTATCGCTTGACTTTAAAATATAGTCAATGGAATATAACAATTGGCCCAATATCCTTTCCCAAAGTTTGGTCCAGGCTGTTACTTAAGCGGTTATAACGTTCTTGTTCACTCGGTAACTCATTCATCTTATTGTGAGAATCACAATAACACTAACAATTTTGTTAGCCTTAATAAGACAAGACCTTTATTATTCTTTACTTATTCTAAATACTTAATTTTATCTTTATCTCAAATTATACTTTAAACATTTTGACTTATTCACATTTAGAATGCTTGATAAAAAAAAACATCTTTTGGCATATGTTGAAAATTAAAATAATTTTTCCTTTAACAAAATGATTATTTGCTCCTCGTTTCGTGAGTAATATGTTCTCTTTTTTTTATAACCCTCTCCTGTTAACTGAATAATAACTTTTTGCCTCCAAGTGGGACAGCGGTATGTCTGCGGACTTACAACGCTAGAAACCGGGTTTCGATACCCGTGGTGGGAAGAGCACAGATAGCCCTTGTGTAGCTTTGTGCATAATTATAAACAAACAAACAAATAACTTTTTAAACAAAATCTTCGAATTTAGCTTTTATATCCAAAAGAAAGTTTGTTTATTTTTTTATAGAAAAGCTAAGTTCTTTTTCTAACAACTGGAATTGATCAAGTGTTTACTAACTTGAAGACTAATTGTGAATAATGAGGATGGTAGTCTTATTAACACTTTCAGATAAATTATTACAATTAAGTTTACAAATTATTTACCTGAGGCTTATCAACTTTTTTCACAAACTTCGATAATTCGTTTGTCAAAAAAAGATTATCGTCTGCTCAATAATAAATATCAAAAGGGCATAAACTTCAAGTAACTTGCCTGGTAAAAGTCACTCCTACTAACAATCTGCTATTATACAATAAACATTGTTCTTCATACTTCTGTCGCATGTGCTTACTCAGTACTTTATTTTACACAATTAACACTAACCTGTAACAATAATTATTTAGTGTAAGTAATTTCCAGGAAATAAACTTTCGAAAGAAGTTCCCCACTTCTGCAAATATTGAGATAAATTACATTCCTTTCAACTCCAGTACAGCTTAAACAAGCCTACTGTAAATTCCTAAAAGTTTCCTTATGAAAAAGCTGCATAACGAGTTATTACATTCAGTCAAATGAACCTATCATTTTGTACCAATAACGGAGTTCACAAGACAACAGAAGACACAATTGGTTGTATGCTTTCAGTTTACTGGATACTTCTTTCACAAGTAATATAGTAAAAGGATATTATCTATAATTAACTTCTAAGTAATTAAGGATGCAAAACTACGTTTATCCTGTTTATCTCAACTATAATGCCTCACCTAAAATCTTTTCCATTGTAAAAGTCCCATGCAGAAGCATGACAGACAACATCTCTGTCCTTTGGTTTCGTTAACATCGAATGTTCCCAGAATTCCGGTGGCATTGGAATAAGTCCAAGTGAAGTGAAAAATTCGTCAGACATTTTAAACATCTTCTCTGCGTCCCAGTTCTAAATAAATCATAGAAAGATGCTCCATTTGAATTAAAACGTTTCAAAACCTTAACAATAGGTTTTAACACACGACCTTTATATTTTTAATCTGTCAAGTATCAAGTTATGTAGATAAAACAGCTAATTTCCACCTTACTGCTACAAGAAACATTCTTCTGGCTTACATCAATGTACAGAATTAAGAGTAAATTAACGGTTGCTGTTGAACAATGGTTACAATACAACACACGGGAAACTCACCAGTTCTTGCATTTTCTTTGTTACGTCAATACTTGGTTTGTCAAATGGCTTTAAGTCTTCGAGGAGAGATGCCCATGATTGGGCCCACATGCCCCCTAAATATAATCAAAATATTCGAATAATTATTGGATTAACACTATATATCTTTAGCCTTTCGAAAACACAAACGCAAAAACATAGAGAAACAATGGTCAAACGTACGGAGTTAAATGTAAATTGCCATCATACACAAGAATTTCTAAAGTCAATCTATATTTGGCATAATTAAGCTTAGAAAAAAATAATCAAGTCATGAATATACTTAAATACGTAGCAGAAATAATATCGTTTGTAAACAAGTTTTATAAAACAAAATTAGTATAAATAAGCTTAAAAGCAGACATCAAGTAACGAACATACCCAAGAGATGGGCAGGAATTGTCCCATCTTTTGGCATTTTGTCTCCATATATGTCACGTAATTTCATTCTGACATAAGCATGCATTTTCTGATACAGAGGACGAAGCTGGTTCCACAGACTCTCGACGTCATCTCGAAACGTCTCAGACTCGTAGGGTGCCAACCACATTTCACTTAAATCTGAAAAACCTTAAATGCAAGAAATTACTAATCTACCAGTCTCTGTAATAACAATCAGGAGTCAAAACTATCTTTGTTGATAAGATTACACTTATAAATCTGAGATTTAGACACACAAATTTTTTCAATAAGATGAACTAATAAAGCAGTTTACCATTGGCCTTTGCTGCTTCATTTCCCAGTTCTGTGACTTCAACGTAATGGTTCCTGATAGGCTTTCCTGTAGCATCTCTCCACTTAACCCACACCTCCTTCAGTTCTTCGTAGTCACGTGACGAGGCCATTATACGTTTCAAATCTAGCATGTTCAAAATTTTATGAAATCGATCTTATAAAAACTTGCTTAGGCCTAGTCCAGATCAAGCACTGTATATAAATCAAAAACATCATTTCGCATACTCATGTAAATAAATAATCACTAAGCGTTAGTTCTGAATAAAGCGTTTGAATTACTTGACTTACAGTTTTTCTTATCTGACTCAAGGAAACTTTAACAAAAACTAAAATATGTTTTATAAATTTTGGGAGATGAATTTTGATAATTACATGTAAACAAGCCATGCAAAGCTTCTAGACAAGTACATTTTACTGAAGGCGACATCAAAAACAGAAAGAAATGATTAGTTACCTGGTTCCAGTGCCAGATTACATTTGTCACGAATACACACTGTTGCTGTACTGTAAGTCCTCTCCATTTCTGCCTGAAGTAATGATAGCTGAGAATAAAATACCTTTGTTAATTTATTTCTCAATTAAATGTTTTATAACTTGTTTGTTTCTAATTAAGCACAAAGCTGCACAATGGGCTATCTGTGCTCTGCCCACCACGGGTATCGAAACCCGGATTCTAGCGTTGTAATTCCGCAGACATACCGCTGTGCCACTGGTGGGCATGTTTTATAAACAGACAATGTTCGTCTTTTAGTATTCTCGTCTGCACAAAATAATTTGAAATTCAAGTGAGATGAAAAAATCCTTTCCTTCTGAAAACATTTAGCCTACGACTTGTTCGAACACACATACACACACATGGAAAAAATGTTCCGGTTCCCTCGTAATATACCTGGTAAATTGTTTGTTTTGAATTACGCGCAAAGATACACGAGGGCTATCTGCGCTAGCCGTCCCTAATTTAGCAGTGTAAAACTAGAGAAAAGGCAGCTAGTCATCACCACCCACCGCCAACTCTTGGGCTACTCTTTTACCAACGAATAGTGGGATTGACCGTCAAAT